TTTGTCATGTGAGAAAAGAGATCTGTTGGCAGTGCCGCGAGTGAAGCGACCAGATTGAATTGTGTTTTGTGTGCTCAATACACTTTCTGTAAGAGTCTGCAAAATCCAGGAGATATGAATGAACAATCACCTCTAAGCAATTATATATAAAAATCTATGTAACTGCAGGTGATATTTTGCAAATATATTACGTGTTGCACATGTTCTCCTCCTTGGCATGGAGTGGAAACAACAGTAGGTTCATCAAAAGCTTTATTATTTGTGTCCATTGCATTTTCCATCCCAGTCTGCATATTGAAAAAAAGATGCACACATTACCTCTAGATTAAATGTAGGTATCCATTACATTGCAGTTGTCATTTGTCAAAAAAATATTACCTGTTCTAAATGTGCATCTTCATGTTCACTAACCAGATTATCAGTAGCAGCAGCAATAGTAGTGAATTGTGCAGGTTCACGGGTGGTTGTGGTTGGTGCAACAGCCTTTGTATTGGAGTTATAAGGTAAAACATTAGCGATCAAACATTGTTTAAATCCATGATGTTGCTAACAATTAAGAAGTTGTATTACATGTGCCGGCGCTTGTTTGTGTTGTGCCAATAGAGAAAAAAACTCTTGTCTTAATTCTTCTCTAATCTTGTTACTTGTATTCTCCGGTTGTTGTTCCAGGTGCTGAATTTTTTCCTTGTCTCTCTCCCTCTCAGCAGCTTAAATGGTAAGTTGTTCTTTTAACTTTTCCACCTCAGCTTGCGTCTCATTATTTTTTTTGTTGGGCTGCTGCTGCTAATGCAGCTGCACGAGCTTGCTCTTCAATTCTTTCATTCATCAGTTGGCTTCGGGTCGGATACTTCACCATGTATCCATGTCCAGGACCTTTGTTGCTCCTGATCCAGTGGTTTCCTTGTAGGTTTTCCGAAGAATGTGGTTTTCTTCTTTCTTTGAAAGCACGGAAGTCTCTGCCTCAATTCTCTCAGAGATTTTAGCACAGGTTTTCTCCTAAATTTAATAAGAACATAATTAGTGTTTTTAACTTTATTTGTTCATAAATTTAAGAACATATATAGTTATTAGTGAACAAAGTAGTACTTACATATACTTCCTTAGCATCATCAGAAGACTATCGGCCTTCCTTTGAGCGTGTACTCCTCCAAAGTGCCAAATCATCTGGCTCTTCACCAGTGAGGTCCCTCTAAGTTGAGAAAATTGAACAATTTGATTGTTTCAGCAAAATAATGAAAGAACAAGATTAGGTTATTTATCATTACCTGCTCATAACTAACTTGTGAAAATGGTTTTGATCCTGTAAGATGTAGTGTCTTTCGATGCTGGGAATTGCCAGAGCTTTTGGTGCTAATTCGCTGATACAAACATAGAGTTGTTCGTTGCACTGAAGAAAGATGCAAACAATAAACACATATATGTCAGAGGTTTGGAACCTAGAATTTGTCACTTCCAAAATACAATACCAAGTAGTGCCACTCAACAATTTCCAATTCTTCTAGCTTATGTCTCTTCTTTGATGATAACTGTTGTATGCCTTGTATGTAGAACTCAACTGAGCTCGCCATCCTTTGTACCTCTCTTTTGCAATCTTCCATATGCCACTACCGGAAACCGGCACTTTGCCAAGCGCCGGAGGCTTTGCCGAGTGTATTTTATCGGGCACTCGGCAAAGACGGTCTTTGCCGAGTGTATTTTATCGGGCACTCGGCAAAGACGGTCTTTGCCGAGTGTCAAATAAAATACACTCGGCAAAAAAAACACTCGACAAAATGCGTCTTTGCCGAGTGCCTTTTTTCTGGCACTCGGCAAAGATGTATTTTGCCGAGTGCTATTTTTCGGCACATGGCAAAATGCGTCTTTGCCGAGTGCCTTTTTTCTGGCACTCGGCAAAGATGTATTTTGCCGAGTGCTATTTTTTGGCACACGGCAAAATACGTCTTTGCCGAGTGCCTTTTTCTGGCACTCGGCAAAGATGTATTTTGCCGAGTGCCTTTGTTTTGGCACTCGGCAAAGAGGCATTTTGCCGTGTGTATTTTTTTGGCCCTCGGCAAATCAGTTTTTCAAAGCAATTTTTGAGGCCCTAAATGAATTCAAATGAAAAAAAATTTCAACTAAAGTTGTACAACTTCTCAAGATCTACAAAGTCTATTTTGGTCATTTCTTCATTTGACAAAGCAACAATAACATTTTTTATAAAATCTACATCTTTCATATTAGTTTCATGAAAGTAGAAGAGAGATATATAAGATTTGTGAACAATGTTACTACCACTATGTCGGATGAACAAATGACCAAAATAAACTTTGTAGATCTTGAGAAGTTATGAAATTTTGTAGTTGGCAACATTTTGATTTGAAATCATCTTGTCATGCAAAAACGACGTTTGAATTTGAAAATTTTAAAATTTGAATTTTTCAAAAGACCTCGGATGGAAAAACTTCCTAAATAAAAATTGTAGATCTTCAAAAGTTATAAAACTATGTAGTTGACAACTTTTTGTTTTGAAATCATCTTATCATGCAAAACTACGTTTGAATCTCTCAAATTTGAAATTCGAATTTTTCAAACGACCTCGGATGGAAAAACTTCCTAAATGAAAATTGTAGATCTCGAAAAGTTATGAAACTTTGTAGTTGACCGCTTTTTTATTTGAATTCGTTATGGCCTCAAACAAACAATTTACTCTCGGTTTAGTATAATATATGAGGATAGTTAACGGAATCTAGACACAAGTGACAATGTAGTGCAGTGGTAGAGCAGCAGACACACGAGGGAGAGGTCGTGAGTTCAAATCCCGCCGGCCGCGTTAGCCGCGAATTTAGCGCAAAAAATGCAGCGACTTCGATGGAGACGGGCGGGCGCTGGCCGTGGCGGCCTCCCCCGAAAAAAAAATTAAAAAAATTTGCTATTATTTTTGGGTTTTTTCGCATTTTCATTTTGCCGAGTGCTTTTCCGGCACTCGGCAAAGGCTTTGCCGAGTGCCCGACATGCGGCAAAGAAGCCTAGCCTTCTTTGCCGAGTGCAATTGCACTCGGCAAAGCACGCGTCTGCTGTAGTGTGCCTTCTCATCATCATTGTCCTCAAGATGCCACCTAATCTGTACAAATGGGATGACCAAGAAATTGTGAACAATTTTGAAGGTACATAAAATTACTTTATCATATGAGGCAACAAAACTGCTACATACCATTATATCACGTGCTATTTTGTCTTTAACATTCTGCTTGACATCTCCCCACTTTTTAACTCCAATTAGTGGAGTCCTTTTCCTTGTAAAGAAAACTATTTCATCAATAAACATGCGATGGTTAACACCTACAGGACCTCGGCGCGTGGACGAAAAATCTATACTAAGTTTGGCAGTCCCAAGTTTAAATCTCTTAGCAGTTGCCGTAAATCCTTTCATGGTTCCACATCCAAGCTTTCTCTTGTCGACAACCCCTTCTAAACAATTGATGTTATAAAATTAAACATATGTAAACATTAAAAATCAGCATTTTCATATGATAATATTGTATGAACACTATAAACCATTACACATACATTTCTGAGAGGCCTTTGGCCTCCTAGCATGAGATGGAAAATGCGTTGGTATTACGCTGCCATAACCGTTTTCGTCTTGTTCATCGGTTTCAACATCTAGATATGCATCTGCACATACAAATAAGTGCGAGCACACAGTTACAATGGAGTTGGAAAAAAAGATGATATATATGCTTCACTATTTCCAACGTGAAAGAAAATCAGATTACGGATATATTGAAGAAGCCCTTCCCACCTCAACCATTCGCTATATGTTGCAATCGTATTTTCCCGGTAGTCATCCTTAAATTCTGCGAGATGCACAGATATTATATATATTGTACGTAGTTAGAACAGTACCTAAATATATTCAGATCTATTTTTTTAGTACATAGTACCTGGGTTGTCTACATCTTGTGGCAGCTTCTTAAGCCACACCTTGTATGCATCATGATCTTCATCCTGAATTCCTTCTTCACTAACTTCATCATGTCTACGTCGCTTAATGGGTGTTATTTCACATTGAATTTGGTCTTCTTGAGATTTTGTAACTAATATTCTGATTTCCCTCTCTTCCTGAGACTTTTCTAGCATTCTTAATGCATCCTCTTCGTAATCTATAAGCTGTAGTGATGCTACATTGGTGCCACATCGCTCCATATAGTACAAAAAGTCCCTCGAAGAATAACCCATCTTTGTTTTGAAAGATAACAAGTTGACAAATTTAATTTTCTCCCTCTCAGTATTGAATGTGATACGATCCTGGTCCCTCGGTCCCCTGATGAAATAAAAAATTAGTGTCCACAGCTCTCCTGTTTTCTTTGGTGTAGGCCAACAAAATTACGTGAATTGAAATATATTAACTTCCATAATTGTCAACACTTAGGACTGTACCGAATCTTAGAAAGGACTCATAAGGAAATTTATTATAGGAACTTTGATACATCTAATGAATGATTAAAGCCATAACCAAGTGCTTAATGGTCTGAAAGTTGATACATGCGAAGGACTCAACTTATACAAGGCCCAAACAATCAGTGATTAAGGACCAGTAGATACACAGTAATTAATTAATTGGCACATGCTGTAAATAGGAAAAAATATCAGGCTCAATTAAAATTAATAAGTATATATAGAGTTGCAAACGGCGTGGGTCACGCCGTTAGCCCACTGGGCTAGACCGCTCCGTGAGCCCGCACTAACCCGCATGAGAGCACACCTATCCGAAGCGGGTATACACGGCGGACACACAAAGCCCAACGGCGCCGCTCCAACCCGTCAAGGGCAATGCAGCAAAGGGCGCCGCACCGCCGCCCTGTAGCAACCTCCACGGGCGGCTCGTCCCCTGCCACGGCCATCGCTGGGCGACTCCGCCACTGCCGCCACAACTTCCACGGGCAGCTTATCCCCCGCTGCGGCCATCGTCACGGGCGGCCTCCTACAGCCCAAATCCAATGACCAACCCATCGCCGGCCATGGCAGCATCACCGGATGGGGATAAGCTGGTCCAGATGGATCGCTTGCTGGTCGCCATGGAGGTGGATGCGGCGGCAACAACAGCAACAGTTCGTCCATCACCTAGAGGTCCACCAGCAGCAAGGTACGCACCACCAACCGCTGCCGCCGCCGCCGCCGCCACATCAGCAGCGGCACCACCACCAAAAAGATCAATCACATATTCGTAACAATACATAGTATTCTGTGTAATTTATGTATATTTTTTAGCTAACATATGGATCACTAGAAAAAATTGTGAAGTAAATAAGAAAATGAACACACACGTACACAACAAGTATAAGTATATACAGCACAGTTGGTGTCTCACATAAACAGGAAAGGTATGAGCAATGACAGGAAGAAAAACACAAAACAATCGGGTTATGAGAAGTGACAATTAAAAGAACAAATCACAAAACACAGGAAACACATACACATTTTTTTGTATAGTTAAATCCTAGCGCTGGAAGAGTGCACTACTAAACCTAGCAAACTCGGCATGGTAGGTCATCGTCTGCATGCCCTAACTTGGCAGGGTTATTAGCAAACTCGGCAGGGTTAGCAATTAACTAGGCCCATCGACTGCGTACCTGGGTTGGTCATCGTCTACATTCTCGCTTTCATGTTGCCCACGAGGAGCTGTGTCCTTCATTAGGTCGTCCTCTACGTCGGCTGCACGGGACCGCCTGGACAGTCTCCTCCTGGACGACGGAGGATGGGATGACCTCCTGGACGGAGGAGATGCCAGTCTCCTAGTAGATGGAGGTAGGAGATGCCAGCCTCCTTATAATTAGCGGAGGAGACGGCGACCTACTGGAGGTAGGAGACGGCGACGCCGACGCGGACGCCGGTGGTGCGGTATTCTTCATTGCCTTGGAGTGGAGTAGATCCGAAGGAAACGAACCACAACGTGGGCGACGACTCGTCTCTCCTAGAGGCCCGTGATTTTAGAATCTATAACCTCGTTTTAGGGAGAGAATTAGCGCGCCGGCCCGTTTTGACTTAACGTGGAGGGTTTTGGCAGGGGCGGGCGCGGGAGCGGGGGGCGGGGGATAAATTTTGAGCACCGTGGTGTCCCTGGTTCGGGCTGGGTCAGAAATTGAAAAACAGAAGCTCAGGATTATAATTTCTAAAATAATCAAACAGCTTCACCTTGTAATAAATAATAATAAATCACATCTATACCTAAATAAATAAACCCTATACTAAAGAGGCAAAATTTCTAGCCACTTTAGATTTTTTGTCCAACTTATCTTAATCCGAGTATGAGTAGAAATTAAGAAAATATTATGTATCTATGTGTATACCCATCTAGCCAAACACCGACCGGCTCGAAAAGTCCCTTGTGTTGTTCTTCTCCTGTTTGGAAACGCATGATTTTTCTGTGCAAAACTTTTCTGTCCGTGTCCTTTGCAGTTTTTTTTTTTGTTTTTTTTAGCGTTTGCCTTTTTTGCTCGTTCAGTTTCATGACTTTTTATCGTCTTTTATTTTATTTATTATGTCTTCTTCCGTATATTGGCAGGATCTGATTGATTATTCATTATTACCAATAGCGTGTTAATTGTAACCTATCAATATTTTTTCCCGCATCAACCTTTACACGGCCGGCACACAGGAAGTGATCGAGGAGATGGCGGCGGCGCCGCCGTGCCAAGATCTCCAAGAGATCATTCAGGGCATCTTCGCGTGCATGCCAGCCAAGTGGGTGCTCCGGTGCCGCTGACTTTCCCGCGCCTAGGCCACCACGCTGTCTAGAGACGCCTTCATTCAGAGACACTTCAACCCCGCCACAATTGCCACCGTGAAGTTCCTAGGCTCTGCACAACAATCGCAACGGCAAACTACACGCCGTCACCCACATGTGCCGTGTCCTCCTCCTCCTGCGCGTGACGGCCGTGAGGATGTACTACCTTTGCAACCTGTCTGTGGGGCAGATCGTCGTGCTCCTCGACGACCATAGCTCTCTGCATCGCATGCCACCTTCCAATCGGCACCAATAACTTGAATATGATAAAATAGTTACTAGTTAGACACAATGAGGCACTCGGTGGCACATGACATGGCGCTCGATAGGGTAAGACTACATATCAGTTGTTGGTCATGACATGGCATGCTCAGTACAACACCAGGCCATGACATGTACCTACTAGCTAGTCAGACATATGCAATGACGTGCCACTCAATGGAATATGACAAATAGTTACTAGTTGGACACGAGGCATTCGGTGGCATACGACATGACACTTGGTGGCATATGACATGGCATTCGATAGGACGAGACTACGTATCAAGTTGTTGGACAAGATGTGGCACGCTCTGCACGACACCACATGTACCTATTAGCTAGTTAGACATAAGCAATGACGTGTCACTCAATGAAATATAACAAATTCGTACTACTAGGACATGACGAGGCACTCGGTGGCATATGACATGACACTCAGACTAGCTACATATCTAAAAGTTAAACAAAAAAATTCCAAAAAAATAGAACTAAAAATATTGACAATTATTCCTCATCCATATGACCATGATACAAATAGGTTTTCAAAAAAAATGCAGTTGGGATGTTCAATCTAAAATGTAAAAAAAAAATAATTAGAACTACTAATGCTGGCATTGGTCTAAAGCATAGAGGAGCCCAATAAAGCCTAGGTCGCACGCAGGCCAAAGAAAGTACAACACGTTCAGAATGGTATACGTAATAAAGAGCTCGACCAGGCGAACCCTCTTGAGCTTTTAACCTGTGCTTTGTTTCAATGAATTAGCAAGGTGGTACTATGTGCAAGCGTTGGGCAACAGCCAACACAAACCCGTTAATGGGCCGACCCACTTCGTTTCCTCAAAACCCTACAAGCCCGCACCGGCCGCTTCCTTCTGCCGTACCCTTCCCATTCCCCACCCGTGCGACTCTCCCCACGTTCACTCCCACAGCGACGGCAGCGACGGCGGACTGAATCTCCACGGCGGCGACGGAGGCGCCGGCGGACTCGTCAACCCTGTGAAGCGGCAAGCGCGGCCACAACGCCCGGACCCAAGGGCGCAACTCGCGCGGCTAGTTGGCGACGTCAACCCGGCCGCAATGCGGTTGGAATTGGAGGTTCGGTCTTTAATCTTAGGCACCAGCTTGATCGAATGGCCTCTGTTTATGGCTTCATATGCTTTAAGCCAAGCACTTCCTGGAATAATTTGGAAAGATGTAGGATTAGTATCACAATCTGAGCATTACATTTCCAGGAAACTAGATTTAATGCTTCTCAGCTATACAAGCGTAATAGCCTCTGTTTATGGTACCAACTTTATTATCTTATTACAAGAAAGTTTTCAGAACATGGTTTTTGAAGTGCTCACTTTCCAGGAAAGCAGACTATATTTTCGATTATTGTTCTGTAGATATATGACTGTACAGTATTTATGGCACATATATGACTAGACAATTTTCATGGTGCATATATTAGCACACATTTTTTGTAACTTAGGCAAATGATTAAAAATGATAAAGGATGAGATGTCATGGTTCAAATTAAAAATGTGGTGTCAAGATATTATAGCACAGATTTGACAAAAGGGCACTATAATTTGAAAAAGATGAAGATCAAATGTTAGAACCTTCTTAAGGGCTGGGTAGTAATTAAGGTGAGCCTTCTTAAGGGCCGGGTTATAATTTGATCTGAGCCTTTTTAAGCAATTACTGTGCTTGATGTATTAGTGCCTGTTTCTGCTCATCAAAAAATAAAGGGAGTACTGTCTGGTTTCAACACAATTCTAAACTATCACTTCACTGCTCTGTTTTATTGTTTCTACACTGATTCTGGTGACACAGACCAGCGGGAAGGTGGCCACAGGAGCGGCGCCTACGGCGGCCAAGAAGAAGGTCCCGGTGCCCGGGGCCAAGCGAGATAAAAGGGCAGCCTCCACCGCCAACAAGAAGGCCCCGGTGACCATCGACAAGCGTGCCAAAGGGCTGGCATCAACCTCGAAGAAGATGGTAAGATTTTGTGATGTAGAGTTTCATTTTTGGGATTTTGGATTTAAATCTGGGTGGTAATTAAGGTGTAGCGATTTAAGATCAGGCTAATAAATAAATGTGTTGTTCTGAGACTGTTGAATGATCTGAGTAGCATGATAGATTGAATTAGCATGTTTTTCTGAGACTGTACAATTCAGTGTATTGCAGTGTATACAAGCAAACATTTAGACCATTGTAACTAGTCTTTAGTGTATCCATGTGCCCTACTAGCTTACATTATAACTTGATGAATAATTGCACTTTTTTGGGTACATCAATTTTCAGGAGTACACTGATGAAGATGACGCATCCTCTGACGAAGACGACACATCCTCTGATGGTTACTACTCATTTTTTTATGAAGAGGACAATGTGCACTTTAGGCTGGACATTGCAAAAAACGATGTGCTTGATTTCGTCAATGACTCTATGAAGAAGATCGAGAAATATGTTCACAAGAGGTTCAACCAGACGTACAACGAAATCATGGGAGACCTGGAACATGATGAAGTGTTAGAACAAGAAGGGGGCTGCTCACATCGAGTGAATTGCAAGTCTGAAATGCAAGTCTGACCTGGTGGTCATCTTTTGTTGTGTCTGATCGTCACTATGTATATATATGTATGTGCTGTGGTTGTATGAACTAATAGATGCACTCTATGTGCTAGTGTTTGGTAGTTTGTAAGACCTGCTAGTTGTATAAACTAATGGATGCACTCTATGTGCTGGTGGTTTGTAAGAACTAATGAAAGCACTATGTATATATGGTATTGCCTGCTAGTTACTATGAATTAATGTTAATTTCGAGTTACTGTGAGTTATTGTCTAGAGGCTCTTCTTTGATCAGGGAGTGCACTATGTTCGGCAGGCTGCTGCCATAATGCCTCAGCTGCTGTGGCTGTGCTGGCTGTTACTCCCTCACATGTTACTGTATAATACTACTAGGTGCAGCCAGCTTCAGCCACTGAAAATGGTAGCCGAACAGGTATACATCAACTGCACCCGGACAGGTTTGCAATTCTGTGCAGCAGCAGGCAGTTATCTGCTAGTTCAGTTTTACTGTCCTCTCTGCTCAGCTGCAACTTATGAATTCAGCGATCTCCAGTTTGCCTACTTACTTCATGTGTACTCTGAAGCTACCAAAAACAGTTATTGCCTCCATTGATAAGTTTAGAAAAAATTGCATATGGAGAGGCTCTGACATTACTGCAAAGGACTATAACTTGGCTGCGTGCCTCCATTGAAGGTACCCTATAATCATGAATTGGACTGCATCTTTGTAATTTTGCTTATTTTTCTCTTTGGCCCCAAGGCCCCCCTAGTTTGCACCTAGGTAAGCTCTGGTTAGCCTCCAGCTAACTGGTCCCCTGTGTTCCCACTCTTTTGTTGGTTTAATAAAGTTTCACTGGGGAGCTTTGCTCCACAGTTTTCGTCAAAAAAAAAAAAAATCTGTGCAGCAGCAGCTTCTTAGAAACACTTGCTACTCGACCAGCAGGGACTGGTCTATTCATTCTTAACACACAAGTACAAAATTATATAGCAGTTCGCTTTGCATGAAACAAAAAATACAGCAACTCCAAGCACGACCATGAATTCAAACATCATTTAAGGAAGTTTGTGAACCATAGGAAAACTTGTTTGAAGGTGCAATATGAAGACTTAAACAAAAAAATCATCATCATCTACATTGTCTGTGGCAACAGCAGGCGGGACAACTCCATCGTCAATGTATGCGTCACCATCATCTCCATCCTCATCACTGAAGTCTTCATCATTTGGTTCTGGTACAGATTCAACAATTGCTTTTTCAATAACAGAAGATTCAATTATTACCCCTTCCATGTCCGTTCATTGCCAAAGTCCTGGGAGATCTCGGGATCTGCTCCTCGCGGCTTCTCTCGGCTTGCTGTGGTGACAGCGAGGCGACCGTTTTCGCCGTCAACAGGATAACTACCGATTTTACCTCCCAGAGGGTTCGGAATTTTGGGTACGCCGGACCGAACTCTCTAGTCTTGTTTATTCTTCGGGTGCATCAATCGGTCCCGGAGATGGAAACCTTGATGGTTGCACCTCTTGTGATGGTGACTGTTAACGATTGTTAATGTCAATTGTAAACCATCAACATATCCGGCATATATACTTAATTCAATCACCAAACATAGGTATATGAGTTTAAGCTAATAAATTTCACAAGTTTTGGTGAATCTGTAAATGTAGGAGGATTTATCCAGAAAATGAGCAAGGTGGACCCAATCGTCAGATCAAATCACGTTTATCCGCGACGAAACCGACTTAGGAAGGATCTAGAAGCATCCAGAAGACAATACACCGCGACCTGACCTAAGAGACTGTAAGGTGGGGCCACCCGGCCCAACCTAAGCCGACCGGCCTGTGGGTCCCACCGGTCAGCTCTTCCTTCGTATGTCGGTTCCCCACTGCATTTGAGAGTCCATTTCCGCCGTTGCTCAAGGTCGGCTCGTATCGAGGGCTCAGATTTGAGGTTGCCATGGATTCATGGGCCCACAGGACCCCTGGTGCCCCCTATATAAGGCCCCCCATACTCCCCTCCTGAGGCATCTCTCCAATCTCCAATCTCCAAAGAAATTCTTCAGAGATCAATATCAAGACACACCAAGAGGATTAGGCCAAGACTCTCTAATGTAGTAGATTAGTATCTTGAGAGTTAGGGTCGAGTGGATTCATGTCCAGATTCCGAATCTAGTCTCAGAGGCTTGGTAAGCCATTATATATACACTTTCATATCTTATGAGACTACAATGCTTCATGTTATATTCTTATTTACAAGGTTATGCTTATGATGTTTATATGCTTAGAAGTAGTTAAAGTTATCTTACATTCATGCATAGATTCGTATAGCACTCAACCTAGCCTTGATTAATTAGGATTGAGTGGCTAACTGTGCGTAAGCGTGGTGCTTATACAATGGTTTGCCTGTGGATGCACCTTGCATTCCGGACCGGTGGTAGATCACGAGGATGACTATAACCTTGTTGAGTCCTTTATAGTCCACCTCCCGTCTGTAGGTCAAGGAGGACCCGATTACACGGAATAGCATACTCTGCTTGTGCTTTTCCTTAGTAATCTCCCTTATGTATGAACATGGAGTTAATATTTTGCTATCACTAAGTATATATACTTGTAGTAAGAATATCATAGGAATCTACCTCACCCACTATACACTCAAGTTATTACATCTATCATTAACGATCTATCCCTTGAGTGCCATTATGCCTAATGCCTATCATTACATTCACCCCTGCTCTAGCCATGCTGGAATGTTGACTGATAGATATTCCTTTATTACTCAATAAATCTTTACTTCATTGTTTCTCTGTCGTAAAATATAAATAACGATACCTGGAATACTCCCGGTGAAATGCTACACTGATGTTCTGTGCGCTTGTGGAATCCTTAATATTATATTTGCTCTCCCAAACGTCAACAAGCATTTCTAGCGCCGTTGCCGGGAAAACAATTGGCGTAAAGATCAGGAACATACCACTAGCTTTAGTAGGATTACCCCTGTTCTGTTATATTGTGAAATAGACAGGACAACAAATGTCGTTTCGACCTTTCGTCAAGCTTCCATAAGAAAAGAAGACACATTGAAGAACCCGGGGTGCCTGAACATTCAAGATCCATTAACACTGGAACCCTGCCATCTCATAGGTTTGTATAAACATAAATATATATATATATATATTATTCTAACCATGTGTAGATTGGAGAAAAAGGTCGACGTCACAAGAATTTAAATCACATCTCAAGTGACGAATACAGACGCTGCACTACTCACAAATTCCATCATGTGAGTCATGGTAAGTATGATCAAGAAAGGTGAGATAGTCATGTTCATGGACTTTAAACTTGATGAGTAGTTATCTTTTAATGTTTTGCATTCCATTGCATGTTTACTTTAAACAATCCATGCATCCATATCGTTTAGTTTAAATTTTGTCATATCAAATCCACAACATATTTGGTTACCCACATATATCAATATCGTTTGCATTTAAAAATTAAAAATATGTGAGCACATGAAAGCTCATGCTTAGTAAAAAATATCTCACCACGATCATACTCTTTCATCTCTTTTTGAATAAATCTCTATAATACTTTCATGCTACCTTTGTTTACTATAGTATGCTTAAGGTTTGGAGTGTGTTCATACATCTTTTAAATTAAGCATGGTGCTTAGTATAAGAGTGTTGATCTTACTACCAAAGGTTTTTTTAAATTAAGCGTGGTGCTTAGGTTAAAATGCTTTCCTAAATTGAATTAGACATGGTGTGTAGTTTGATTTTTGAACCAAGAATATGCTATAGTAGATACTGGTTATTTTGTTAGACTAACCCCTACAGAAAACTCTACAAATCAATCTAGGTAAGTCAAAGAGATGAATTCACATCAAGAATGAATCAAGGCATGTGATGAACTCCAATAACTCTACACAAGGAAGACCCGGTCCATTCTTCATGAAAGGAAGAACTGTGAGTATCAAGGTTTATTCACTTATCTTTTATTGCAAGTTATCTTAGCCTTAAACCATGCTAGAATGCAGCAAACACATAACATTTGTTGATAAACAAAATCTATGTTAATGTAATTCTAAAACCATCCTTTCATTAGCATAGAAGAAAATCACAAAAAAAATATGGACAACCCGTGTTTCAAATTTGTTATATTCCCTCGAGTATGTGTCCAGTAACATTTTGCAAGAAAGAATCAATAGAAGCTATTCATGTTCATGGTTTGGTATGAATCTGCAAACCCAAACCAAACCACCACTACAGCCGTGGAAGAAGACGAGTGCCATCAAACAGATCTGTAATAAATGCACTCACTCATAGGAAGTGGATGAACAAATTGACAAGCTATGAGCAACATCAAAGACAACCTAGCATTGAGCCTTCTCGGGACACAAGCTAAGATGATGATGAGAAGCAAGGTGCAACTCACCTTGTATTAGCTAGAATACGTCTGCTTTCATCATCTTCGAAGACACTGATTCGCACGTCGACAACAAGAACCAGGATAACAAGATGCCATTACATCATGGCATGCAATCTCATGTCAACAAAATCAGTGATGGTATGCCGACGGTGTCTCGTGGAACCATTAGCAACCATGATCACGAGATGACATCCCCTAGTCATTGAAGACGAAGTTTCTATGCAAGTACCAATGAGGTTCCTTCCTTGACAATCAAGACGGTTGGCGTATCGCTTACAAACGAAGAAGAACAACTCTCCGCCATGTTGTTAGAGGACAAAGAACTTGAGTTTGCATCTCCAATGAACACCAACTCGTCAACCAAGAATCAACATAAATCAAAGAGGGGTTGATAAGAGAAGAACAAGCAACATTCCAAATGGTACAAAGAAAAGGAAAGATCCTGCTCAATGGACCTAAAGCCATGAAGCCCTCACTGATAGGTAAAGCGGACAAGATTCCTTCAGGTATGTTTATCACTACTCATTTCAATAGGAAGTCGGAAAACACAAGGTATATCCAACCAAGCATTATGCAACATAGAATTGCATTCATAGGAG